AAAAATAAGAAAGTAAAATTTTCACTAAAATTTTTTAATTATACATAAAAACATATATATGACGAAGATATTTTACTTTATTTTTTTAAAACGTAATATATACAAATGTTCTCCTCTTATTTTTCTTTCTAATATTATTTTGCCTGACATGTTTAAATCCATAAATGTACGTAAAATGTATTCAGGGTCATTTTCTTTAATAACCAATAGATAAAATATCCCTGTATCCGATAGAATATCGGGAATTTTAGGAAATACTCGCTCCATAACTTTTCTACCATTTTTACCACCTGCCCAAGACTTAAACAATATCTGCTTATTCAAAATTTCATCATCACTGGTTACCACATATGGTGGATTAAATACTATGATATCAAAAACACAATCACTACGTAAGAAACTTAATAAATCCATTTGTACAGTATCTACCTCTACCAAATTTTGCACAGCAGTCTTTTTTGTAATTTTACACGCATTAATATTAATGTCAATTGCAAGATAGTAGGATTGGCAGTATATTTTCATTGCCATTGCCAATGCTGTAATTATAATACCAGATCCACTACCTATCTCTAAACACATCACAGGTTTTGTAACTTTTAGGACCTCTAAATCAGCTTCTAAGGCATCTATCAAGAGGAAAGAATCCTCTGATGGTTCATAAACTGATTCCAAATCTTTATCCGATAATTTAACTATCGGTGTATTCATGATATATTAATGGAAAATAGATTGTTATAAGAATTTTTATATAATTTTTTCTTTTTTAAATAAATTCTAGATTAAATATCAAACTAATAAGATATATCACAATTAACTTATATTTATCATAATTATGATTCATTCATGTTCTTTAGAAATATTAGTTTCTTGTTCTGTTTCCACTTGTTCTTCTTTATTTAAAATATTAGAGGTATTTCCATATGAAGAACTATGATCCAATAAAGCTTTTCTCTTTGTTGTATTTTTCTCCACTGCTTGATGAATTTTATTTAATCGCTCTTGTGTACTTTGTAAAATATTACTGACAATTGTAATTTTATGTTTAGCATTAATTAGCTTTTTAACATAAGAATCAGTTTCCAATGGGCATTGCAATACTTCACTGATTCGTTGTAATTCTTCTGTCAATGATTCAATTCTCTGCTTTAATTCTATTTGACATATCCTATGAAAATCAATGAATAATCATCATTGACATAATAATGTTTTAAATTTTACCAATGCTTGATTATTCGAAAAAATTTGATATATCGATAATGTTATGAATATTTACGTTTATTCACATACAAAAAATAAAAGTTGCATACCTCGTGGCACGAATTCTTTCATCTAATTGATCCACTGTAGGTTTCAGAAGACTCATAAGACCTTCTGTCAAAGCATCTCTCGTTGGATTTTCACAAAAATCATCTATTTTATCATCGATAGACGTATTATCACTTGCTGTATCCACGTCCATGTTTTACCATAGACAAAATACAAAATAGATGTGATATGCAATGCTTTTTCTTAGGAATTCGAGAGTCACCTAACCTTTTTATCATTTTCCTATCAGATGTAATATCGATTTAATATAAAAAACAATTTTAGTTTTAATAATTAATTGAAATTAAAATCTAATTTTATTATGAAAACTATAAAAAATAAATAAAAATATTTTATAATAACTAAAATATAAAAATTTATATTTCTAGATTTGATCATTATCATTATATATATATAATTTAAATAATTATAAAATAATTCATAAATCATTCTGAACATAATACTCATAATGGTTTCCAATTTTGCGTTTTTAACATATAAATAAATTATTTATTCTTAAAATATTATTCTTAATGTGACAATATTGATTTTTTCTTTTTATTCATGAAAGTTATG